ATTATATATATTGTGGTGTACTTCAAAATAGACTATAATCTTAAATATAAGATAGTTGAAGTACACATCAGGAACATGCTCTCTAAGAGTATGTGCTTTGCATCAAACGGATTGATTATTGTTATTACCGAGCAAGAAGCTTTCTTTATGATGTTCTTGTATTTTACATTTGTACATATTGGAATATATATATAAATGTGGGTAAAAATTACTGAAAAAAAATAATTTAATGATGTATTACTTAAATAATGTATTATTATGCATATAAATATTTGCACTGCCCAGTTTCGATTAATTGGTCAAAGTTTAAAAATGTTGATAGCTGTAATACTAGTTTTCTTTTAANTTATTCTAAAAAAAAGACAGAAACAAAAGATTATGGGGGCTTTAACATTTCTCGATTGCGAAAGAATTATAAAATACATTAAGATTGTATTTGTATGTGATGATTGCATATACTAATATGAAATAATAATTAACTAATATTCAGTGCACTTAATTTATAATATAATAATGTTGACAACATTTTTTATTACACTAATGCTCAATTTATTACACACAGTTTCTTTGCAATAAATATCCATGTTCAAAAACTAATAAGGAAGAAATTACAATTTTTATGGCAGAAGAATTATTTCATATACGATTACATCAAAACACATGTGTTTTGCATAATATACTAGCATATAATGACAGCTCAAAAAAAAAAACTAGGTAAGATTTCTGTATATTGTGTAATCTACATATTCTCATTTTTCCCTTGTGCATTGTCTAATAATAATAATAATAATAAATATAAATATATATATATATATATATATATATATATATATATATATAAATTTGGTCACTTTTTATAGTTGTATTTTTGTTTATATCTGATATTAAAATACACATGGTCCTTGTTAATACTGAAACTCTGTTCAACATTAAGCAAAAATGTGATGCCAAAAGTACAGAAAACTTTTATGTAAATATAAATTGTTGCATGATGAAATATAATTTTAACTGCCTAAATAAAAAATGGTACTTAATATTAAAGATATTATATTGGACCAATGCATGCGAAGCATTCTAAACTCACAAAAATAATTGGCGATAATGAGATAACTGCCATACAGTAAGATGTTTTAAGATTAGGTAAAAACGTGAGTGTATGTGTATGTATTTGTACGTGTGGGTGTGATGTGTGTGATAAATTATATCTAAGGCTACACAAGTTATCACTTAAGCACAGTGTTTACACAAGATATTTTGGTCAGATGGTATTACTAAGTGCTACTGACTTCTGTTTTGGCAAATAAGCAGCAGTGCTATATAAAATACATTACATTTTGCATATTAGTATTGTTTAAGATTGTGTCACTTGTAGATACTGGATTAATTTGAATTATATGAGAAAACAATATATAATTATTCAATGTTACACATTTGATAATATACATGTTATTTAAAGAACAAATTTGTATATACAATAATTCCTAAAAATTGCTGATTATTATAATATAATGTACTATGAAATAAAACGTACGTTAGTAAAACATTGCGCAAAAGCTTTACATCCTAATATTTAAATTATTACACGAACAGAATTTATGTGATAACAGTGAATATGAATAGCGGCACATCTTAGGAATTAAAAAAAAATATATATATACATATTTGACATTATAAATGTTCAATTATTTTATTCGTATTTTATAGATAAACTTATTTAACAAATTTTCCTAAATACTTCAATTCATGACATAGCCAAATTACAGTACTTAAAAGGAAAAGACTACCAGATTGATGAGAGGCAGCCAGTGTTATAGGAACATAATACAACAGAGTTGATATGCCTAGAAGTACTTGAAGATAACCAGTACAAAGTAATACAACTATTGCTTGTCTTCCTCGACCAGGAAGTTTATGTTTACGCGACACGAGACCCAAATAAGTTATCAATGCTATGGTAGTAATTCCCTGTGCAAAAGAGAGAGAGAGAGACAGAAAATATATACATTAAATAATACATAACTATACACATATATATATATATTTTTTTTTTGAGTGGCTATATATTTTAACTCACCAGAATTCTGTGATCGAATTGAAGCGTGGTTGGATTCTCCGTGAAGTTTCTCCATGTAGGAGATATGGCAAATATATCATCAGGTATCCATTTGTCGGCCATTTTTGGAAAAGTGTTGTAAATTAGGCCAGCATCCATTCCGGCTACAAAAGCACCTGACAGGGCTGTGAAGAAAATCAATCCTTTCGTCATGTAAACCAATCTTTTAAATCTTATTGCTTTCATTGCGTTATTTGCAATTTTAGTAGAAAGATCAGTAATTGGCCTTTGAGCCGGTATCAAGTAATCCAGCGCATTATAAAGAAATCCGGTATATATAAGCAATGCCAATCCAAGATGCGCAGTTAACCGATACTGCGACACTCGTGGTACATCAGCAGGTTCTACAAAACGATCCTCTAACCCAGATTTAACCATGTACCATCCCATAAGTCCTTGCAGGCCAATTAACGAGCCTAGGGCAACAACCCGTTTTTTTATTTTGCTATTCAGTACACCCCTGAACCAAAACCACGATGCTGGAAATATAAATACAATGCCAATCAAACGTCCCCACATTCTATGTAAATATTCCATCCACCAGATACGCTTGAACTCCTCCAATGTCATATTGTAGTTGCTTCTACAGAAAAGTTTATTAATAATACATAAATTTATATATACTAATTGTTCATACATTGATATTATGATGTTATTTCTCACATTTTATATTCGGGAAATTGTTTGTAACGTTCAAATTCTAAGAGCCATTGTGTTTCATTAAGAGGCATTTTTTCTCCTAACAAATTCCAAGTGACCATGGATAAACCTGATTCTGTAAGTCTTGTTATACCTCCTAGATACACATATGAGGATAAACAATTTCTTTTGATGTCTAACAAGTGTACTTTATTTTTGTCAATCATATAATATCCATTATAGGAAGAACACTATATTAATTTTTTACTTAAATAACAATGTATTAGATTATAGGAGTTATTACATTTAAAATTCTATTTGCCATAAGTTTTGTCTATAATAATTTTTATAACAGTACAGATATAAGAATAAAATACAAAATAGATGAGTGTACCTAAAGCAACTGCTACGAAAACCATGCCGCCACATGTGAGCAACCAGGATCCTATGATTTTCTCATATTTATCTTTCTTTTTAAATGCATAACCACGAGTTATAGTATTTATTTCTTTCAGTTGTATCTATTAATTGTTAAAATTAATACACCTAATATTTCAAATCTTATTAAACGCAGTGAATACTGGCTAAGGAAACTTTACCTTTTGCGATAGGAATGGACGATATTTCCTTAAGAAAATGTCATACTGTTTTATATCGTTTTTCATATTTGTAAATAAACATCGCTGGCTAAGTATTCGTTTTGTGATGTGAAACGCCCCTAATACTTTTGTATATTTTGTGATACTCATTATACTGAAATATTACAATTATTTATATAGATAAATATATCGATAAATATAAGTTAAATTTACATAAAATATTACGATTATATTGATATTGATTAAAGGTCGGCAGGAGCAGACGCCATAGACTAGAGGTTTATTTCTACACCGAAATGTATATTGCACAAAGCGTGCTATGCCATGTGATAGTAACTAGAGTTCCTCAAGCAAAGCCCACGTCACATGATACTTGTTTTCTTGATAGATCTAGATTACGTTCAGGGATACACACTGTGTGCACACCACTAGCCGTTCGGAAATATTCAGGCTGCCTCCCCATGGGCGTAAGCATAACTTGCGTCAGCCAATCAAATCCGCTGTGGTAATTGGTAATTAGTTAATTGAGACGATTTGATTGGCTGACGCAAGTTATGCCACATGGAGAAGCAGCCGCAGTGTGCATTCGTGTGACATCGTTCGGAAATGTCCCGAGAGAACTGTGTGCCAGCAAACCACCTAATGAAGAAGCAGGGGAAGCTGTGTGAATCGGTAGCTTACTACCTAGTTATTTCTGTGAACGCAGGTTATATAGGTTACAACTGTAAGTTTTAAGGAATTGTGAGGAGTCGAGTTTTTCCACAACGAAAACGTTTCGTCAATAAAATAAAATGCCAAAAAAGAAGACCGGTCAGCGGAGGAAAGCTGAGAAGCAGAAACTCCGGCAGAAGGAAATTAGAACTGCGAAGGAACAAATAGATTTGGCGAAATTTCCTTGTAATTCGGTGATGGTGAATATTACATACTAATATATTTATGCAATATGTATGAAGTAATTATGATATTTTGCAATTAAGATACAATTGTTTCATTGATATCGTAGGAATGTGATAAGTGTAACAAGAAGCAAAAGAGCCGTGCCTTCTGTTACTTTTGCCAAACTTTACAAAGATTACCCATGTGTGCGCACTGTGGCAAAATAAAATGTATGTTGAAAACAGGAGATTGCGTAGTACGTCATCCCGGTGTCTTCACCACGGGACTAGGAATGGTGGCAAGTAAATTTGCATGAATGTTGAACTATGAAGGATCATTGCTTGAAATTTAATTATATTATTGATACTTTTGTCATTTATTTCAGGGAGCCATATGTGATCACTGTGAAGCCTGGGTTTGTCATGGAAGACGGTGCCTCACTACTCACGCTTGTATCTGCCCGCTGATAGATGCTATTTGTCAAGAGTGTGAAAGAGGAGTTTGGGATCATGGTGGAAGAATATTTCGTTGCTCATTCTGCAATTGTTTCTTATGCGAAGATGATCAATTTGAGCATCAAGCATCTTGCCAAATATTAGAGGCTGAAAGTTTTAAATGTAACAATTTCTATGACATATATATTACTTTTCTTCTTTTAATTATGATCTAATATATTAAATTTGGCATTTTCAGGCCAATCATGTAACCGTTTGGGACAATATTCTTGTCTCAGGTGTAAGACATGCTATTGCGAGGATCATGTTCGTAGGAAAGGTTTTAAATATGAGAAGAATAAAGCCATTCCTTGTCCAAAGTGTAGTTTTGAAACATCACAGACTAAGGATTTAAGTATGTCCAGTAAGTATTGTAGTTAATTCAACAATATTCTTCGCAATTAATCTCATTTTATTATGAATATACTGAGTGGTAAGAGTATTCCAAGATGATTGAATATCTCGTAAACAATGCATTTTTGAAAAAAATTTTTCTACAAAAGTTCTGCAAAATATAACAAGCAAGTCTATATTTATAACATCCCTAAATAATAATGAATCACAGAGCAATCGATAATATGCTATATTTTGTTAATAATAGCAGCTTTTTAATTGGGATCTAAATGGCGATTGTTTATATAAGAGCAAAAAATAAGGTGACTTCTCAGGTTAACTACATACACATTCACACACATTTCCTTTTCTTTAGCGAGAAGTCATAAGTTTGGCAGACAAAATCAAGGTGGTCCATCTGAGTCTGACGAGGAAAATGGATATAATTCTTATAGTAAGTCAAAATATCTATTCCCAGTAAAGAAATATTTATGCACTTATCTCTTTTGCATATGATAAATAAAAACATTTACTTATGTGATAGGAAATCAAGAATCTTGCTATGGAACCACTAGTTATGCTAATAATGACGAAAATAATGAGGATGATGAAGACGATGACGACGATTACGATGATGAAGATGAATACGAAGATGAAGAGAATGACGATGACGAGTTATCGAGTGAAGACGAAGACAAAAAAAACACTAAAACACAACGAATTTCGAACAGTGACAAGAGTAAAGTTTAACATATATTTAAGAATATATAAAATAGCAATAATTGATAACAAAATATCTGTCGAAAAAAATTTAGAAACGCACATGTGGAATATTTAAGGAGAAATATAAATATATTCGGAAAAGAGAAGGGGTAACTTAAATATTTGGTAAAACAAGAAATTTACTTTGGTAAATTTAATTAATATGTATTTTTATATATTTAATGAGCACATATTTATAGATGTCTAGTAAGTAACTCTTAAAACAACCATTAAATATGAAATAATAGTTGACTGAATATTGAAAAAGTATACAAATAGCAATAATCAAAAGATAAGAATGTCTGTGAAGAAATAATATCATATTTATTATGCATGGATTTTACGAAATTTAAAATAAAAACGTTACAAAATCAACAATAGCAATAATCAAAAGATAAGAATGTCTGTGAAGAAATAATATCATATTTATTATGCATGGATTTTACGAAATTTAAAATAAAAACGTTACAAAATCAACAATCAAGATCGTAACGCGTATATATCTAAATATAATGTTATACACGCAATGTCGTATATTCAGATGGGAATGCGAAAGTATGAAAACCGAGAGAATTAACACTAGGTAACAATCCAGCATTTGGTATAATATTCCAAGACAATATTAACGTGACATTCTTATTTCCCCTGTAAGAAGAAAATAGTAAATTTAACATCCACGATTTTACCTATGAATGTAATAAAAATCGTCGTATAATGTGGTTTATTCTTTTTAGTTGAATTGGCTATATTAGTTCAAGAAATTTACATACACATTGAAGCGTATGAAGCGTTTGTACAAGATTTTCATGCTTCAGTGTCTATATATTTCTTGAACTTAATACAGCCAATTCAACTAGAAAAAAAGAACAAATCAATATTCATAATTTTTCATACTTTACCTAAGACCCTTGCCATCATCCCAGAAATAGTATTTTGTATTCATGTTCTTGAAGTCTAATACAGCATTATCTCCACGAAGTACAATTTTATCCCATAATACTACCTGTTAATAACAATAAAAATATATATAGAATTTTTTTACATATAAATTGTATAGAATATACATTAACAAATTGGAAAACATGCCTGATTAAATTCATTATTTTCTGTTTGGTATTCCGCTGTAAGATACAGGAATAACTGTTTAACATTCCAATTAAATAATGGAGTGAGATGTAAAAGGTATGTAAGGTAAATAGTTTGAGATAATACTGTAAAGGACAGTCTATATTAGAAGTAAGCAGTATCTACAGCAGAAGTAATAACAGCATCTACATTAGAAATAAGCAGAAATAACTACAAAGTAAGATGTTGGCTGGCAATAGGAAATGGAAATGATCCATTTTGTTTACATCCTGTTAACGATTGTTACGATTTATTCCATTGAAAGAACTCCTACACCCTATTCTGTAGTCTTATTACCTCCAATGTAGATGATCTTTGACAGTACAATTTTATATAAAAAAAAAACATGTTTTTCAGAATTCCATCTTCATATCTCAGGAGATAAAAGCTCAAAACTAAAGTAACATATGAAAATAAATATATAATTTGTTCTAATTAAATCTGCAATTTCAATACCATATGTGGACATTAAAGATAATTATATAATACTATATGTAAAGGATATCAGTTTGTAAATCAAAAGTTAAGTAACCCAGGTCATTCTTTTCCCTTGATGCACTATAATCTGGCACATTCTTCCTGCAAAACAAAATATCCTTTTATCATAATCGTTCTTGACTGTATCGAGTTAAATGTAGAGTGCACCAATTTTTGACATATTGAAATGTTCTATAATAATGTTATCTCCACTTAAAATATTTCTCTGGCAGATTGTGACACAAGAACCCGGTGGAAGTGTGCTTATAATTTAATTAACGATACGATAAAATTATTAACATGCTTGTCGTTACTTACACAACAACTTTAACTGTATTTAACGTGGCGTTTGTTCTATAATCGATAAACACTGTTGAGAGGAAACAGCAAAATGTAAGGCAAGCTGACACGCTCAACGTGTACGCTAAGATAGCATTTCCGCGCGTTAGAACCGTATGCATTATCGTGCCTTGCTATTCGTCGAAAATCGCGACGTCTTTTCGTTAAATTATTAATTAATTAAAACAAATTAATTGACGTTACTATGCACCAATGGATTTCTAACCAACATGCATTGTTTTCCAGAACCGAAATTCTCTACGTCAGCAGTTCAACGTGACAACCACCGGTTTGCATTCACTGTGCAATAGTAGAGAGAATCTCTCTCTCTCTCTCTCTCTCCCCCTCTCAGTATTGGTTCCAAGTGACCATAGATACTGCCCCAACACCACTCAAAGCAGAGAGAAATCTCTTTCTCAATATTGGTTGCAGGCAATTTCCTCAACATCATTCTGTGTCGTGTTTAGAAATTCCACTCGACGAATAGAATAGCGTTTATTAACCAATCATAATAAAGAAATCTTTGCCTTTTCCATCTTGATTGGTCAATCAAATGTTACTCTATCCATCGAATAGAATTTCCGAACATACCTCTTAAGCTGCCTTTTCATATGCTGCGGCAGCAAAAAATGTCACGTAATTCAAATTTTATAGAATGGCTTTCCGCTGCATTTGCTGCCCATGAAAAAGAATAACGGCGGTAATGTATTAAGTTTTAACTTCAAAATATATTGTCAAGTTTTTAGACAAATATATTGTCTAAACAATATATTTATGACAAATATATTGTCAATATATTGTCGATTTAAGAATATATTTTATACCTATTTTCAAAATAATGAAAAAATTACAGATTGTTTTATATAGCATATACGCAGCCTCAAAGAACGAGGGCTCCTCCATCTCGGTAAGAAAGATCCAAGGAAGAGGGCGAGACAAGAATTCTGGAATTGCCATTATGCTGTCGCACTTTTTCCAGAAGGGGGAAACGGTCACGGAGGAGGTCTATTTAGAGATCTCGAGAACGTGTGGTAAAAGTTTGGAATGGAGGTTGTGGTCTCAGGAAAGTTGTATATTTTCCAGCAAGACGGCGTTCACGCGAGTTATTTGGTATAGAATTGACTATCCGACAACGTCGACATGTTCTGGTCCAAAGACTTCTGGCCTCCTAGTAGTCCTGATGTGAACCCCTTCGACTATTATATGCAGAGTATAGTCGAGAAAATTATCAACGAGTCCAGGCATCCCAACATGGCCTCCCTCTGGGCCACCATCGAGGTGGTGTTTGCAGCCATAGACCGGACCCGGTTGAAAACAGCATGCTTATTTTTTAACACGTTCATTGCCAAGCTGAAAATTGGAATTTCGTATTTTTTTAATTTTTTTATTTAGTTTTTATTGTGCTCAAAATAAGTTAATATATTATTTATATGCTTTTATTATTATGTACATAGGATTTATGTACTCTAAATATCTATTACGCGATAACGCGTGATCGGCCGTTTGGTGAGAACTCGCATCACGTGATATCGCGTGATTGGCAATGAACGTGTTAAGAATAGGATCGAGGCGGTGATCAAGGCACAGGGCAGCTTCGTCGAATAAGATGACTCAGAAAGGATTCTTTAAGTTGGATATCAAAGCATTTATTCGTATTTTGATATTGGTTCTAATAAACGACTTTTCCGATAAAACATTCCCATATCCGGATTTTAACGGCGTATCCCGTATATAATCTATATAAATCTATGGCCACAATGTATGATACTACGGCACATCCATTATACCATATATGTCTCGTGAACCTCGGGTGTCCCGAAATGATACAAGTTTACTTTAGGTAATATAAAATATCATGGATAATAGATATTTGCACAGATATTTTATTAAAATGACGAATGAAAATAAGAAAGACTAGACTGATATTCATAGTTAGATCTCATATTTAAGACCGTCTTAAGTTCATCTTCAGATATTTCGTAGTCAATGAAATGAGTCATACAGCATCTCAAAATAAATTTAAGACGGTCTTAAAGATCTGACTATGAATACTGACCTTAACCCGTTGCGGTCTTATGTCGAGCGTCACTCGGCACTGCGTTTCGTTCCAGCAAGTCCTATATCGAGCGACACTGCGTTTCGTTTCGTCCTATGTTGACAGAGTCTTCATCGTACGCTAAAAGAGATAAGATGCGGTGTAGCATATCCCGAATAGGCCTCTTGAAAGCAAGAGCTTAGTTTTAATAGTTTCAAACCCACCGTACAGTTGGAATTTGTAGTGCAGTTAAAAAGTATTTTCAAAGTCGAAATTGCCATAAGAGAATTTTTTTTCGAAAGATTATGGCTAGACAGGAAAGAAGACGACGTAGAACGGTGCGTGACAATGAATTTGAAAGTAGTGACAGTGACTGTCACGAGGTCATAGAAAGACAATTTCGAACAATGTGTGCACTTGAAGTGGAAAGTAATGAAGAATCGGAGGACATAATTACAGTGAGTCGAAGCAGACATACGAACAGAATTCTTGATACGTCTGAAAGTAGTACAAATGATAATGAAACGGACCAGAATAATGATTGGCAGAATGTCTGTGAAAACGACGAGTATTCTGGTTCCATAGAATTTTCTACGGGAGAAAAGGCCGCAAGTTCCAAGTAATTGCACTACACCTCTGCAATTTTTCTCACTATTTCTTACAGATGAGCTTGTTACTAAAATAGTGAGAGAAACAAATTTATATGCCCAGGAAATAATTAACCATGAACGATGAACTTTCCGTGCACTCGATATGGCATAACTGGTATGATGTTACTGTTGCTGAATTACAAGCATTTTTGGGTGTAATTATCAACATAGGATTAATGCCTCTCAGTGACATAAAATGTTATTGGAACACACAATTCCACGCAAATATTCCATTTTATAATAAAATTTGTATGCGTCAACGGTTTTTACAAATATTTCGAGCACTGCATTTGGAAACACCACAGGCGGACAACAATGGAAGANTATTGATCTGCTAAATCGACGCCGCCCATATTTTTATTATATTGCACTATTGTACTTGGCTTCAAAATTGACTCCGCTCTATTTCCAAGTCTCTTATTTCTTACAAATTCTGATTTCGATGTACCCCACGTTGATAGCATTGATACGACACGTTTATCGCGCAAGGAGCAACGTTTCATTTTTGCACATTTCTGTTGGTAAAGTTATCTATTTCTTGAATTATTTGGACCAAAAATTCAGGGAACATTTTGTACCAGCCCAGAACATTTCGGTACATGAATCCATTGTTGGATTCAAAGGTAGAGTTTCATTTAAAATTTATAATCCAAAAAAGCCAATCAAATGGGGACTTCGTCTATATGTATTTGCCGAGTCATCGTCCGGATATATATATATATATATACCTTTATGCCATATTTTGGTAAACAGCAAACTCATTTGCTCCGATTTACCAGTCACAACCCGAATTGTTTTATACCTTTACAATAATCTGAAGCAATCAATACCCGATGCTACAGGATACCACATCTTTACGGATAGACTCTATACCAATATAATACTTGGACTAAAATTGTTTAATTTGAAATGTTATATAACGGGAACGGTAATGACGAATAGAAAAGGAATACCTCCCTTTATGAAATTGCCAAAATTAAGAATTGGGCAAACACTTGCTTTTTTGGATTATAAGTTTTAAATGAAACTCTACCTTTGAATCCAACAATGGATTCATGTACCGAAATGTTCTGGGCTGGTACAAAATGTTCCCTGAATTTTTGGTCCAAATAATTCAAGAAATAGATAACTTTACCAACAGAAATGTGCAAAAATGAAACGTTGCTCCTTGCGCGATAAACGTGTCGTATCAATGCTATCAACGTGGGGTACATCGAAATCAGAATTTGTAAGAAATAAGAGACTTGGAAATAGAGCGGAGTCAATTTTGAAGCCAAGTACAATAGTGCAATATAATAAAAATATGGGCGGCGTCGATTTAGCAGATCAATACACTGCAACCTACTGCTTCTTACGTAAATCCCTGAAATGGTGGAGAAAAGTCTTTTTCTGGGGATTGAAAGCGTCTATTGTTAATGCTTTTATTTTGTACAAAGCATCTACTGTTAATTCGAACAACAAGAAGATTTCCCACAAACTATTTAGAGAAGAACTTTTGCTTGGACTTGTTGGGGACTTGCGTGTCACAACAAAAACAGGACGACCATCATCCAGCGACAAGGAACAGCGATTAGATGGAACCTTACATATAATTACACTGCATCCCCAGCGTAAACACAAAGATTGCACAATATGTTTAAACCGAAATATTCCTGGTGGCAGAAGAGAGACTACATATATATGCGAAACCTGCGACAGAAAACCGGGATTGCATGTCGGAGAATGTTTTAAACGCTATCATATCATGGTAAATTATAAGCTGTGAACAATGAAAAATAATGTTTACAAAATCTTAAACTTTTATTTTATACATCCACCTATTCATAAGTACGTTGCGTTAGCAAGCTCATAAATGTTTTCCAAAGTAAACGGTACCAAGCGGTTGAGCGATTAGCGAAATCTGTGCGGCTGGGACGAAATTGCGAATATAGCGCGGACCGCAACGGGTTAATAAAATAAATATATATTTACAACGATTAAATAAAAATAGAATTTTATCATTGCTTATGTAAATGTATCGAAGAAATTGCAACTCAGTTGCGAAGAGCACAGCGATCTCGTTAAACAATTTGTAGCAGCTTTCAGCTGCTACAAATATGGCAATCGAATACAACAAGAAACATTTAACAATAATTATTGCAAGACATGTAATTACATGACAGCATCTCTGTAAAAAATAATCAACCATATACCATCATGCCTGTTGATTCCGTTATGCCTCAGGTTCCCCTAAAAAATTTTTTTCTCGGGTATATATACTTTTTATATTATTTACAATAAGCTATTATATAATTCAGTACTTACCTTGAGATCAAATGAAATATTTCACATTTAAGAATTGTTACTTTTTTAGTGAATGTTCTCATTCATATAATTTGTCTCAACACGACCATTCCATTGACTATATATTATCTCAAAATCATACGCAGCCAATGAAATGATTCTATTTCAACAAAAATCATACAAACGAATGATACTCATTCTGTACTGAAATTTATATAAATAAAACGCAAAACTTTATCCTTAAGTTATAGCAATATCTAATTCAATGACATATGCTGACATAAGGAAACAATAGAAATAATACATTGTACTGTTCATTATTACAAGAATTTCTCTCACTAGGTACAATAGATAAATGTCGAAACAGCCAATCGACTGAAATGTTGTGACTTATCACTGGATTATACATACAAACTATTTGTACATCGTACAAGTTATAAATATATTTTTCTTTACTTTCTCGAGTGATAATTCCTGAATATTTCCAAACGATAATTCCAAAGTATCTTCAAAATTACAAGCTTCTATTCTAAGTTTGTCTATTAATTAATTAAGCTTTAAAATAACAAGAGAGTTTTAGGAAACAATTTGAACTGTGTGTGCGAAAGAAGAGGACTTGAAAATCAGAATAAGGTGTTTTCACTTTTTCCCATACAAAACATAGCGATTTTATTCTACAAATAATGGGATATATTCTGGTTAATTATTTCTTGGAATCTTGCTTATCGTCGGTTATTTTCTTTCTATTCGTTACTGCATTTTTTTCGTCAATACGATACACCAAGTTCGTACCATACACGGTGCGTACACGTGCGCGCACACACGTACACACAAACGTGACACGCATGCACGCACGCGCGCACATGTATACACGTACGTGTGTATGTGTGTGTGTGCCGGTATGTATGTATGTATGTATATGTATATTTGATAATATTAACAAATAGTGTAACACTCAAGATAATGCTGATGAGCACATAATCTGACTTCTTCGTGAAAATCACGGTATTAGATGTATCAAACTGCGGTGCAGCGATGTAGGCGTAAATGCCGGACAAAGTACGATCGGCCCGGGTGATCACGCAGTCGTTACTTTTGTACCCCCTAAATCCCTGTCACGAATGGCGCTGACGCTGCTGCTGACGCTGCTATCGTCGCCAGCTACGTGACTCTCCATCTTCGTCCTCTTCCTCCTCGTTTTCCTCGAGAAGTAGCGCTTCCGCCGTACCCTACAAATTCAATCACTGCTTATATAATTGGAAATTTTATACTTCCTGGAAAATATCAATCGAATATTCAAAAGGGGAACACCAGAGAGATTGTCCTCTTGGGTTTCGCCGAAAAATATGATTTAATATTATATGTTCAAATATTTGAGAGTTGCATCAAGTTGCTTCACCACGCATTTTAGTGGAGTATAATATTAAAATATATTTCGAGTTTGGTGAAATCCGAAAGAACAATCTGTGGTGGTCGCCTTTACCGGTGTTATAATTGATCAGTCGAACAAAAAATCAATCGAAAAGACTCTTATTTTCAATTAATTTTTTGTTCGACTGATCAATAACACCGGTAAGGACAACCACAAGAGATTGTTCTTTCGGATGTTATTATTAATTTGACTTGGCTTCCAGATTAATACCGCGCCTTTTATTTCCGACACTTTATAATCATCTTAATACTCTACAAAAATGGCGGATTAAGAACCAGTTTGATTTGACAATCCATCTTCACGCGCTTCCATAAAAAAAACTGGAATTACACATTTTCTCCTCATTTCTCCTTCTCCTTCTCAAATCCATTTCCTTTTTTTCAATTAATCGTCCACAATGCCTATTAGGTTGTTGCAAATGAAATGGCCGTTTTTGAATTTTGAATTTAAACTTTTATTCGGCACATTTCATATACATCTTGTCAATCGAAATAGTCTCCATTTCACCTCGATACACTTCTCCCAAACGTGATACAAGCGCATCAATGCCTTTCACGTAGAAATTAGAAGAGCGAAATGCAAGAAATTCGTTGAACGCACTTTTCACTCACGTCACTTTCTGGTTGGAATACTTTTTCACTTTAAAAAAATCTATCCAGATGCTTAAACAAATGGTAATCTGTTGGAGAAGTGATTTTAAATAAAAATTAATGATTTAAGTAACTTACTTCCAAATCGATATCGTCGTCTGTCGTAGGTGCAGCTTGATCAGAATGCGATGAAAGTTGTACAGGTGCATTTGAATTACTACCAGCTCCTCCGCGATGTAAATGATGACCAGACACCCAAGTTATTGACAATAATCTATCTTGAAATGTACGTCCTTTTACTAGAGCAACCTCGGCTTCTTTCCTTGACTTAAAATTGATCACAATCGAAGGAGTTGCGTCATCCACTATTTGATTTAGTATTTCACCAAATTGCTGGAACGAAAAAATGAACAAGTTGTATGTAAACTGCTTAGAATGTTAATTAGAAAAATATATCAATCTAATAAGTTTGAAAGCAATGGTTCCTATGTTGAAAATGAAATGAAATTATACATATAATGATAATGTACAGGATAAAAGAAAAATAATCTTCAAAGAACCCCGTATATAATCTTATATAAAACTGGATACTGGTTAAATTAGCTAGTCTTCACATGTGTTACAGCTTATGACCTACTGAACAAAAGATATAACAGGCTCAAAACTAGATAATGGATAGTTATCAACCTACGGCCAGTCAAGCACGAAAAACTCTACGANGGGGGGGGGGGGGGCACTGAAATATATCAAAAATTTTATAGGAAATTAACCCTCCGTTAATTGTAATATTCAATAGATATATGTTCAGGCTACAACGTATCACCGTTGTTACGCTCCAAGATCAAACTTGTACTTATGAATATTTTTTCTTTGTTCTTTTTGTCCTTCACTATTCTTTCTCTGTGTTCCTTGGTACCTAACAGCCGAGTGCTGAGTGAGATAAAAAAGAAACATTATTTTAAGAAGCAAAGAAAAATAATAAGAAAATTAATATATCTAAGAGATACATCGCAACCGTTTATGGATGAAAAATATTACGATTAACAGAAGATTAAACGAAGTTGGAATGAAGATTTATATAACCTGTTCTTTGGATGAATAAAGTGTATTAAGAACATATTCATTGTACTACACTATAAGAATTTATGTCAGATTATAATGGAGCACTTCTTACTTACTTGAAAATGCGCTAGGACTTCTACCTTTTCCTCGGTTTCGTAACCAGAGACTAAGAGACTCGTTGGTCGATGATCAACTGATACATGAGTGAAGCTTCCTCTACCGCGGCCTCTGTACAGCAAATGCGCACCACGTGTAACTCTACTGGTTCTCGTGCCTCTGTTAACGCCAGGATTTGTATTCAAACCTAATACGGCCGCTTGGGCTCGCAATTCGTTCAATCTCCTCTGTAATTCCCCGGCATCCTGACCTTCTTGTTGCGCAGTCATTAAATCTAATTCAGCGTCCAAAATTTCTTTCTGAGTCTGCTCTCTGGACTTCACCTGAGACTTGCTGTTGCTGATTTGGCCGTTCGCAGCTAGATCTTTGCGCAAATTATCGACAGACTGCTGCATAGCCTTTATCGTGGGCATGATAGAATCTTTCTGCTCTGGATTCTTCTCGGCCTTTTCGATCAAGGCACGTAACTCGATTAGATGTTTGTCTAACAATTCTTGCTTCCTCTTGCGTAAATCAGCAGTCAGTTTTAACGCTTCCTTACGTTTCTCCTCCTGCTTCTTCTTTAAAGTCTCTTTAGCTGCTAATATCTCTTGTGTCTTCTTTATTGCAAGAACCTTGTCATCTCTAGTGGCAACAACGATGGTTTTAGGTGAAGTTGGAATTAAAGTTTGCGTGATCTGTTCCTCGCTAGAACGGCGCGTGGGAACGTATTCATTGTCTTCAGCTTTTGCCGGTAGTGTCACAGCGGCGCCTAGCCTTTCTTTCACAGAAGGACGGCATCCTGTTGTGAATGTAAGCAAATTTCAATATTATTTATTAATATTTATATGAAACATACAATGGTTTAAGGTCACACGATATACAATCTGTACAGTAGATGTCGCCATTTTTTTTCATTTTTAACTCGTTCGCAGGTCACAATATGATTTTATATGTAGTAAGAACAGATCGAAAAAATGAAATAAATTTCAGTAACGCTCAAAGTCTTTGCAACTCAAGTATAATATCCATCATATACTTGTAGGTTAAGTTAATGTAAATATAAAAGTCCTTCACTATTTCGCAATTATGGAATTTTTGAGTTATTAGTTAGAAAAGACCAACAAATGATAGCGCATTAAGAGTAGTGTTATGATTGTGCATAACTCTCAAGTTTTACACCTTGTTATAGAAATATAGATAAAAATATAACACAAAGTATAATCTTACCTGGTGGTACATTTTCGATAGCTCCACTAGCCGCATTATTATTGACATTGTTATGCCAAAATACTTTAATGAATCTATTATTCAACACAGCCTCTGTACTTCTGTAAGCAGCTTTTGCTTCTGTTGGTAGTTGGAAAGTGACCAATGCCGCTTCAGGATCGCCGCCAAAATTAACTTGGATATTTACAATTTTACCAAATTTGGAAAAATGATTGTTCAATTGAGTTATATTGTTTAAGCTCCGTGGAACCTTCTTCAATTCGAGAGAACAATTGGCTGGGTTATGTACTACTCTCTGTTTCGGCCCCAGGCGATTAAAATCAAACGCTTGCTTGCGTTTTAGAGGATTGTTTTGGGTATGAGTGATTTCCGATGAATTTGTATGCGGAATAACCGGCACACTGATCAATTCCCTTTGTCCTCTGCCGTAAATCCCAGGTCCAGGCTGTGGATGTCTACCCCATTGTATACGTGGCTCCATGCTAGGCGCATCTGGATTATATTCTGCAAAGGCATCTGAGATATTTTATTCATTATATTTTAGAGATATCTAACTCGTACACGTATTATATTTTACAAGGTGGTCAAACAATTGTAAAACACAACATAATATTTTCTTGTTAACTTTAAAGATTTTGTAATCTAATATCGATAGGAAAAAAGTCCCGTAAGATCCTAAATCACAATTCTTATTACATTATTACGAGCGTGTAACATCAAATGCATAGCATTTGTATTCGTTGGTGCTTTTTATCGCGAAATTATTAAATATATACTTTATATAGAATTATTTTTGTCTTTATTTGAAAAATAAAGGACACATGGAAAAGTTGAAAATTTTCTTAGATTTTTTTTCTTGTGACACCTAAAGGTGACGAGAAAATTTTCTATTTTGTCCAGTTCGTCGTCGTTTTGTGTGTGAAAATTATCAAATCGTAAAAATTACCAAAATGAAAAGAACCAATAAACAATAGAGATCATTTAAAAATATAGGCTTCAAATTTTAAGACTTTTTCTAGATTCAGATTTTGATAACTTTTAACGAAGCGGCTTGAATCTTGTCAATTTTTTTAGAAAGAGTCAAGTGCTCTCTTAATTGCTGAAGCGCGCGCGCGCGTGTGTGTGTGTATATCTTAATATCGATCTTTTCAAAATTTACTTGATAAATATCTGGTTCTCTTGTTGAATCAATATTCCATAAAAATAACTATAGATTTAATTATGTGGATACTATACCCATATTAGAATGATGATTTCTCAAATGAGGCGGTGGTAAATTGCTAAGAGGAAGATGCGGCGGTGGCGCATTACCATTTGGACCCTGTGACGGTTCTGGTACCGTGGTCACCGGAACTGTTCCTGGGGCTTGGGCATTGTGTGGGCCAAAAGTTAAAACCCGACTTAGCGCCACATCTTCCAATACAACTGGATCGGTACCATGATCATAAGGACAAAGATCTCCCCTCATACAATAGCCCTTTTCTACAAAGAAAATATATATACACATATAATACCACAAACACATATGCATGCGCGTGTGCACAACAAGGTGCCCATTTTAATTTCCACTCTCTAAACTGGGAACTGTCAATTTAGATCAGAAGTCATTTTTTGCCATTGACATAAAGTTTTCTTTTGTAAATGAGAAGTGAATATTTCATGCAATGTAATACTTCGTCGTTTATATTAGAACATACGTATAACTGAAAAATATCTCTTTATTTTTAAATCATAAGGCATAGATAATTATATTGGCCTTGATCTCAGTTATTATACCATAATAATAGTATAAATATGCAGTTTCATTAAAACGAGAAAGCATTTGAAATAATAATTATTTTTTACAATTATTTAAACAACACAGTTTTCCGTTTTCTAATTCGCGAGAATACATACCATCAAAATCTCTGCAACGTCTCTTTGTTTGAAAAGATCCTGTTTGGTTATTGGAAATATTACTCGCAATAGCAACAACACTTTGTATTGATTGACTAGTTGTAGATAGCCTCATATCTACATCCCCGTGATTACTATCTTGGGTTGGAGTACCACCACCAGGACTTCCTTCGATTCGATCCGTTCTATCGATTTCCATTTTCTCAAAACGGTCCATTATTTTTTTCCGCTCTATTGATCTTGAACGTGACCGCGATCGTAATGGAGTCGGAGACCTATTCCTGAACCTTGCCCGATGGTCGCGATTATCTGGACCATCTCGTATTCTAGGTCGTATAGGCGATGAACTGCGACTTCTGGTGCGTCTAAAGAATAAAATTGTAAAATTTACATATAAGAAAACTGTCAAAAATATTCTTAACCGACTTTAGTGAACATTTAGATATTGTACAGCAACAAAAAAACCGTGTTTTTATATGCTTATTTGCAAGTTTAGGGATTAAAACAATTCCATGAAAATAACTCAAATATTTAATTTCGAGCGAATCATTAAAACTATAAAACATATGAAAAACTCTAATACAGTATCATCCAAATAATTACTGATATACTGCCAGTATTAACTATTAATTCCTTACTAATTCTCGGTATAAAATTTCTGCAAGGGTTATATTTGTTGAAAAAATATTTTTCCAAGTTCGATGAAAAAAAAAAAACATGTGTTTTCCAACTCTTAGGAGTATTACATGCATACACGCGCACACATGCATACCTGCGATCATGTCGTCTGGTACTAATTGGTGGAGATTCGTTTCTCCATGGTCGACTTCTATCTCTTTCTCTGTCGCGTCGAATGTGTTCTCTACTTCTGGATCTACGTCTATCCCTTTCCCAAGATCGTGATCGTGATCGTGTCCTTGATCTCATTCTGCCACTTCTACAATACAAAAATTTATGTGATATAAACAATAGATACTTAAACGATTCCGATTAACGCACTGGAATTCTTAAAGAATTTCCTTTTTAACGTAAAGAATATAATGTTCACATACTATTAGTCTAAAACTACTTAACAATGACATGCCGGTTATTAATACAAGTTATAGAAGAGAGCCATTATAATGACATTTTGTCCTAAACGATTACTTAACAAGAAACCACTACAGTGGCACGTAGTAACGAAAGAATCAATTAAAATTTTATAATCAATTGTCTCTTATTTATTCATGTGATAAAAAAAATGCTTTATCGTTTATACCTTCAATTGAAATTAATTTAATTACTTTCACTGTTCACTGTACAAGGAATATCATAAATCCCCTTTATAATATAGAATAGCATATATGTCTTTTTTACATATATTTTTCTTCAGAAATAATATTAGTATACACCTGCTTCGAGAACGTTTTTCCTTTTCTTTCTCAGCCTTATCCGAATCAGATTTTCTAGCTTCACGCTTATTAACTACAGCAGGTGCAGATCCATTAATTTGAAGCGGAGCAGGAGGATTCGTGATCATAGGTACTAGTTGAATTGTCGTATCAATCATTTTTTCCGTTGGCAAAACTGGTGCTGGTGGATTTGTGCCAGGCGGTGTCGTTCCACCACCATCAGGTTCATTCTTAGGGAGTGGAAGTATGTATTCTTGAGTTTCCAACGTTTTAAAAAGTAATTCAACGAAGTTCTTGGTTTCTAGAAATACAATTACAAGATATTATTTATACCATATTTTCTTATGTGAGAGATTCTTCGAAAAATATAGTTTTTACGGCTTATTTACGATAAAAAAATGTTTACACATTTTTCCTATCTTTCTTGCATAATTCTATATTATGTAATATTTATAATCTATGATAATTAAAAAAAGAATGTTTTCACAAAAAATTAATAGGGCAGAAAGTCTTTTTGCTTTTTAAGAAAAATTTAAAGATATATTTTATGTGCAAATTCAAATTTTATCAAACAATTGACCATTTTGTTTAACTACTTTCTTCCATCTTTCTTGCCAAATAACGCATGCGCGGGTATACGCGTTTGTACGCATATAAAAGATTGTTCTTTTAGATACAAAAAAATATATACCAATGAGCGTTGTCGGGCTTTCTTTTCTTATATCATGATTTTAAGATTATTATACAATTGTTAAATAGTTTTGAAATAGTTAATTTTCGATTTTTTTCTTTGCAGTTTTGTATAGTTTAAGGTTTTAAAAAGTGTTTCTAAAAAGTTTTCAAGAATTCTGTTATATTAATATTTTCAAATTAAGGGGTCATAAGGCCCTTTCATTTGAAAATATTTCTTGTATAATACAATTGTGCAGCATAATATATTCTTTGAATACATTTAAGTCAATTGCCTTGAATGATTTTTATTATATATTGTTTTATTATATATTGTAAGTCTTTATAGCATTCAAACGGTTAATTGGTAGAAATTCAATTTTATTTTAATGTTTATCACTAAAGCAAAAATTTTTTGGATAGTCGTTAGGCTGACAACAAACTCTAAAGGGGTTAATATCTAATTGTTTTTATGTAAACACACCTTGTTGTAGAAAAACATCCAATTGCTCAAGCATGTCACCACGTAATTCTTCCAAAGTCTTATCCTTCTTAGCTAATGCATAGACATATTTAGCCAAAGCAGCAGGATCCGCGTCACATCTAATAAAAACATGAAATTATTAATAAACATTTACTATGCATAATCAACTTTGACAGACAAAATTATGCATTAAGTTATTTAAAATAGTGAAGTATAATTACATTTATAACAAAAAGCAGATATCGCCTTTTTTATCTGTATCCACACACACACACACACACACACACACACACACACACGCGCGCGCGCGCGCGCGCGCGCGCGCGCCCGACACACGAACGCACGCACGCACGCACGTACATATATATAACAAATCTAGTTATGTGAATTATCCTCTAGTATCGTCAGAAAGATCAGAAAAATATCATGTTTACAAATTTTACATTTATCCCTACGCTGGATTATTATTTATATTGTAAGTTATGTGCAGTTATGTGCAGATTACTATTACGTATTATATATTGAATATAAATTTCAAGTAAAAAATATTGTTATTTCTATAAATGCATACAAACAAAATTGCTATATCCAAAAACAGTAATTAATATATCACTGTTATTCAAAGGAATACAAGATATTACGAATAAATCGTTTATTATTAATATCTTTTATTAGTTTATTATTAGTATATTAGTTTAGTATTAGTAATCGTTTATTATAGTATTGAAAAAATACATTTTCTATTACTTTTCATTATCTAATAAAAATTCCAAAGTTACAAATTTAAATTGGTGTTGAATTTACTAAAAAGTATAAATTTCCAAGAAAAGTTTAATAATATTAAACAAATCAAAGAAAATATATCAGTAAAATCTTAAATTAAAAAATTAACAAATCATAATCAACTTCAAACCACTCGATGGAAATAGAATTTTACACAAAATATCTCATGAGAATATTATAAAAACTATTCCCCATTATATAAATAATATATCTATATCTGGACAAATACTTACATCTTTAGTTTTAACAATTATGGAATTCATAGAATTGTAAAAATTTGACAAATCTAACAAATTTATGGTCTTGATATAAACATCAATAAATATATATAAACAATAGCAAAATTTAAAATTATGTATATTAAGTATATAAAAGCTAAGCTGTTTAAGACATTAGATAAAATTTATAAAGGCCGCGATCCGATTCATGCTTACAAAATTGTAAGCGTCATTTTATCTTTATTGTTAATCACATGCCAAAAAGAGATAGAATGACGCTTACAGTGCTATAAGCGTGAATCGGACCATAGCCAAAAATATTAACAGAAAAGTTATACGATCATCAAGAATTACATGAATTACAATATAAGAAGAAAAGCCGCGCGTACGTGCTGTAAAATAAATGAAACCGTGGGGTCAATATGACTTCACTTCACCATTAGAGAGTTAGTAAAAATTCTGTTTGTACTAAATGTGTTCATTTAAAAAGAGTGGATGTCAAAATAAACTTTTAAAAACTTAAAATATCCTTCAATTGTTTTGTAAAACATAATAAGCTACATATACAAAATGAGAATTTAAGAATAATTCACTTTCTAAATTTCTTGGAGTGAATTCTAGGTTAGAATATATTTTCAGTTGCTTGGATTGAGTTTTTCACTTCAAAGAAGTGAAGATATTGTTATTCTAACCTAGAAATCACCCAAAGAAATTTAGAGAGTACAATAATTTACATGTATATAACGTAACTATATTAAACATGTCAACTATAGATAATTATAGATAATTTATGAAATGTTTCTTAATAAAAATTTGCGAACTGCTTTCTACATTTCATTTTGTATTTGTCTTACTAATTCTTTGGTTTGCATTACATATACCACCACACCATAAATTTCAATATTTTACAATACCACTAAAAATCAATAACAGCTATAAGTTTTACTTCGCACTAATGCAAAGGAAAAATAAATATTATGTATGTTAAACTTGTTATGTTCACAAGATATGCAACATTCTTCTGACCTTTTTGTTATTAATATTACATACAGTATAATGATTAATAAAAAATATGTTGATATTTATATTTAAACTTCTCAATCTATCATGCAATATCATAAAATTTGCAAAAGATGCAATATTATTAATTGTTCTAATCCTTTTTATATTAATACATTCATGATTAATTCTGAATTAGATATATTATCTCTATGACTTAATTATATTATTTTCACATAATTTATAATAATCAATATAATTCACATTGTCTATATAGTAAAGGTCTGTATAAATATTATATATAGAAAAAATATAAATGAATAACTTACATAAATATTACACGTAATGTTAACGCATTCGCAACCTGTAACGTAGTCCTACGTCATTTCAGATTCTTTAGCTGAATACCGGTAACATAGTCCTACGTCATTTCAGATTTTTTAACTGAATGCCGGTAACATAGTCTTACGTCATTTCAAAATGTTTAGCTGAGACTTTTGAAAATTGTATGCGGTACTCAGCTAAGGGTTTCGCCTCAAAACCGTTGGCTGCGAATGTGTTAAAATTGATGGTACAACTACACATATTCGTTCACCAAAAACACAGATATTGGAAAGTTTCATTTTGTAATCCAATAGAACGATATAATCGCTATGTATTAAATAATAACTAATAAAAAATAACATGCGATTGACAAATCTATGGAAAATTAAGTTGCTAAAGTAAATTTTTATATAGATTTTTATATAACAGTAATAATGCAACCTCATAAATAATTATATCATCTGTTAAGTACTTTAGAGTTAACTTGATTTTATAAAATATATTGATATTTAAAATGATTTAAGGATTAAATATATGAAACTTTAGTTTGATAAATATACATAAACCTTCCAACAATAATATAATACACACAAAGTATAATTAATATATTGATTGTCACAAGGATCACTGATGATTGATACTACGATGTTGCCGCATCTCATTAGTCACACTCATTGCTTAGGCATAGAATTGGACCAATTGCACCTAACGAATTGTGTGGTCAATAGAAAACTAATAAAACTAGCAAACGAATACATGTATTGTAAAATGAATGTATTTATACCGCAAGTTTGGTTATTCAACTTTTAATCAAGTTTTGAAACAATCCATGAAAATGCAGCATAGCAGTCAACATATTAACCACTTGCTTTGATTTATAATCAGTTTAAAAGATGCAATAGAACAGATGTAATAAGGGTGTGAGGAATTCACCCTGTTGAAAAGAGAGGTTGTTATTGTTATTGTTTGAATGGTCACTCGATGCCCGAAAGACTGTTTATATGCTAATATTGATGGAGAAAATCTATCGAGTCAGGCAAAGGTTAATCGGTAATACATTATTACATATAAATAACAAGTTACATAGAGAGCAGAACGCTCCACATGTACGGCCATTTACATCAAGCACGTATAACACATACGTAAAAGTACACTCGGCAAGCTGGCCTACTTACAGCGGTTCCAAGACAGCGGTCAACCACGCCTTAAATTGATCCGGATTGTCGATTATCATCTTTAACAAATTCCGCGTTGAGAGCACATAAACAGCCTTGTATATACGCTTTGATCACACGAATTCCAACTAGCAAGAATAAGTACTCTCCTAACTAAAGACAGTCGCCATTCTGAAATCAGTCGCTGTTATATATGTGTATTCACATACATAGATAGAAACCGATCATTTCCAGAAAATGTCACGAGGTCGCTAGTGTAGCTGGGCTGTGTGTTCGATTTACGGAGTTTAACGCGCGGTAAAAGCCGTTCTATTACATTAGTTGCATACATTACTATTGACGCTTCTGATTGGTTGTCGCAACAAGAGTTGCGTCTCCTTGCGATCGGCTTGCAACTAAAGCCTGTTCTACAATATGTCGTATGTCGCCATTGAAATGTAACCAAACTGAAAAGAGTATAACTTTACCCCCTCCGCAGTACGGAGCGTGCAACCGGAGGGCCAGCCGCGGAAGGAAGAGCGGCTGAATAGAAGAAGAAGAAGGCCACCGAAAGAATGAAAACAAGATCAAGAAGTCTACGAAGTTCATTTGCAGGAAAAGTTCATTTTTTATTTAACAAAAACAGTTTTATTTTATAAGAAAAGATTATTCCGATTTTATAAGAACAGCTATGTTATAAGAACAATTTTATTTTATAAGAAAAGTTTACTTTGTTTTTGAAAGAACAGTTATTATAAAGGAATAGTTTTATGATAAAAGAAGAGTTTATTTGACCCTATAAGGATAGTCATTTCTCGAGAATTATACATTCGATAAGAACAGCCTTAGTAGATCTAGGGATACCGCAGACAAAAAATAACACGAATGCGAGGGGCGATTGTGATTGGCGGGGGCCGCCAGCGGATCGGAGAGCGTCGCGGAAGGGGGAGAACGTTTGAAATAAAAGAAGAGGGAAAGACGGGCAGTGGCATGCAGACACTGGAAGCGAAAGGATGCATGTTCGAGGAAGCCGAGAACTGCTGAGACGAAGGATCCTCGAGGAGTTGCTGCCGAAGTGGAAAACCTGCGAAGACGGCCTGGTGCGAACCTGCTGGTTGGGGCCTAGGAGACGTGGGAGAACGACCGGTCGCCGCTGCGACGGTAAGTGGCGTACAAGATTGCCACGGTTCCTCTCCGCGTAATCTTCCTTTTTCCCGGAAACCCCGCGTCGGAAACCCGAGACGTCACACGCGCGAAAATCCGCGAATCGCGACGTAAGCACGCTGAATCGGGGAATTCCGCTAGGGAGAAAACTCATCGTCGGCGGGGGGATCAAAAGGACGGCTCTACGCGATAACCAACGCGGATTGCGTCACCTAATCGCGCCAATCTTGTCGGGACTCGTTCACGACAAGGGGGATACGTCGCAATAGAGCGACATCAAAGAAGCCGCGAACGACGCTGCGTTGCGATACGTTTTCTTTATCGGCATCTTTATTCGCGGAATACTTCCGTCTCACAATTACATGTTATTTGGTTGTTTCGATTTCTATATCCTTTTGTGTCATCTGTATCATATTCTTTATCGTTAGTCGCGTCGTATTATACGTATTGTATGTACAAATTTATTCCATATTACTTACATGTATTAATTGATCTCAAGTCTATCCTATTATTTTTTTATTTTTAGTTTTATTTTAAGTTCTTATAGTATGTATGAATCCGTATTTTTTGTTAATTTGGTTATCATTAGCCGCTTTGGTAATTTTCTTTGATATTACAAATAGATTTCATATTATCTGTTTAAAGAGTAAGTGTTTCCTTTTGTTTCTTCTTTGCGTGTTTCCCCATTTTTCATACTGTGGGCCGCTGACGGGCGTCCCGTGGCTCGGACATTCTCTTCGGAGCCGGGGAGGGAAATCCCCTCGTGCACACCCTATAATACGGCATATCTGGGGAGACTTGGCCGGTCCAGCTTCCCGGGTCTGGAGTTTGGGCGAAGTTTGGGCTTAAAAAAAAACGCCCTGGCGACCGTGGACGGGCAACGGGATCCGTGAGGAACTTAACTTCGAAAGGTTCGGTGGGACCTGGATGATTAAACGTCAATGTTTTCATTCAGCTGGTGACATCCGGTCACATGATACGGGCTTTAGGTTTGCGTATTCGAATGTTTGAAATCTAATTACTTCTGTTTAAGGTCAAATTGTTGGAATATGTAAATGTAAAGAAATATACTGATTGGTTGATCAACTTACTGCTTAAATTTGGGAGAGTTCCGATGGTCCACATAGGTGATGGGCTAATTTAATGTAAAATTTTCTAATTAATGGTCCAGCGGAAAGACTAGGCCGATGTGAGTGGGTGTTTCATAATTTAATGGAAAATAAAAATTTAATGGACCGTATTTCCATCAGCGTTTCCCTGCTTAAATGCAACGAAAACGACTCATTTTTTTAACGAACAGACAATGAAAAATGGATAAACAATGTGCAGCGGAAAGGTTCCTGGGGAGAACGAAATGAGCCACCGTTAACCAGTGTGTTTCAAAGATGGCGAAAAGTAGTGAAATAAAATGACACATATGTGATTGAATAACTCTATATATACAAATATCTAAACATTGTCTTCGAATTTCACTTAAAAACTGCGACGAATTTTTGTCCCAATCCAATAGTATCAATACTCACTCGGCCTAGTCTTTCCGCTGGACCACTAATTTCGAAAGGCAAATTTAATGTTTCTTGTTTACTGAATATACTCTATACAGATATATGTGAGTGCATGTGTATGCAAAAACAAACTTCCAATCTACGTTGAAAGTTATTATATATACACATATATATATATATATATAATTGAATACATTTTCCTTAATAATTAATAATAATAATTAACAAAAAAGGAATAAGGCATTATTTTTGTATTTAGTTTAATAGTTCTGATTATAGTATAAAATGAGTAAAAAAGTAGTTAGCAAACTTGATATGTTAATAACGTTTCTGACACCATTAATAGGTCTCTTATGTCGATAATACGTTACACGATTAATACTACGCATTATTAATATGTTCAACATGTTTGCTAATTAAAATTCATACAATTATCTACAATATTTTCATCAATTCAAGACTTATTCTATTACGATCTCGCTGAATGGATAATATTTTTACCGCTACATGTTGTCCTATACATAGAGTCTGATCTTTTAAATACTTAACGTGTATTAATCCATTTCTACCGACTCCTATGTCTACAAACACACCGAAGTGTGTGACATTTCGTACAACACCGTTTAATGTAGCACCGATGTTCAAATCATCAATACTTTGCATATTATCATAGAACAGCGGTTGATTTAATATTGAACGTATATCTTCGTCATTTCTCATAGTTAGACCTTTAACTATAATTTCTATCGTAGCTTTGTCGGTATCAAACTGTACAGCTAATTCTGAGTAGCTTGCTTTCGCATACAAATTTATCTTTTCGATAAACTCTGAAGTACCAAGATCATTCAAATTACATTGACAATGTTCTACAAGTTTATCTGCTATTATGTACGATTCTGGATGGATCCACGTTTGATCTAACAAATTTAACTCGTCCTGCAAATTCTTTGGTTTCTTCTTTGTATTTTGATTAATTAATGCCGTTTCTGGTAAAATTCTTATAAATCCTGCACACTGCTCAAACGTCTTGTTGCCAATGCCTTTCACCTTTAATATTTGCGCTCTATTTTGAAACGCACCATGCTTATTTCTCCACTCTATGATATTTGCAGCTTTGGAACTTGTAAGACCAGCCACTCTCCGCAGAAGACACTGTGAAGCTGTATTGACATCGACTCCAACAAAACTTACAGCTTCTGTAATCACCTGTGATCAATAACATTTTGACTACCGAATTTTTATTAGATCTAAAAGATAATTAATTTCTAATTTTTATATTCATTTGCAATTATGATTAGTACAAAATGTGATTTAAATTATTAAACAAAATGCAACTTTATTAAGTGCGCAAATTAATCCGGGGCTTTTTTGAAAAAATTGAACCTTTATTAACCCTTAGCGAACGAATGCCGCCATATTTGCGACATTATATTTGCGAATATGGCGGCATTCGTTCGCTAAGGGTTAAATAAAAATAAACATATTAATCGATTAGACAATTGACGAATCCCTTCTCGAAAAAAAGATGGCGGCTTTGAGTCGATAACATCATCAAAGTATTTTCGGACCTCTTCCATACTTTTAAAATATATCAGTCAAGTGGTATTGGAGTGATCGGAATATATGGTAAACCGAAGGATTTTCGAATTCGATGAATAAGGAGAACTTCCCAGCTTAACGAATAAATGATATCCTTCGTCCCTATTGCGACGTGCGGCTGAGCGTTAGAGAGAATTCATGTCTTGAAAAGCAGAAAAGCAGAAAAGTAGCAGTCAATCAGAAGTCGCGCTGATAGTTGACAGTTTATGCTTTATCTACCGCTTACTATCAGCGCGAGTTCTGATTGCTGCATTTCTGTTTTTCTGTAAAGGTGTGAATTCTCCCTTATTATGTTGACTTCCATGGCTAATAAACGACCATTTCTTCTCTATTTCGTTGCTCAAACGTATGAATTGTCGGTAATACTTGGCATTAATTGTTTGACCAGATTACAGCAACTCATATTTTTTCTCCTTTTTTCAGTACGAGATTTTGATATCTTCTTTTACTTTTCTCAGGCTGATATCTCTTAATTACTTCAATTGATTTATTGCTTCTCTCTCGTATTTATTTATTGTTATTATTATAAAATATAAAAAGTTCACTTACTTCGTTTAGCGCGTTCATTAATTGTTTCTCAGGAAGATCATGTTGATACATTCCAACTCCTAAGTGCTTTGGATCTATTTTAATTAATTCCGCTAGTGGATCCTGCAGACGCTTTGCTATGGAAATAGCTGATATAATATTTACATCAAGATTCGGAAACTCAGATTTTGCTTCAGGACTACAACTATAGATCGAAGATCCAGCTTCATTGACAATGGTATATGTTACATTCAAGGAGCCGAACGCCTTTGATTTTATCACTTTTTTGAGAAATACTTCGGTCTCCCTACACGCTGTAGCGTTTCCCAGAGCTAATACCGTACACTTATGCTTTTTTACTAACTTCACCAATACATTAACCGAATGTTCATAAGACGTCTTGGAACTCGTATGCGGATATATCACACTAGAATCGAGAAGATTACCGCATTCTGATACAACAGCGAGTTTACATCCATGATTGAAACCTGGATCTATACCAAGGATAATTTTACCTCGGATAGGAGAAGCTAGAAGCAATTGCTTAACATTAGCTGCAAAAACCTCTATGGATGCCGTTTCTGCTCTGACTTTCATCTCATTTTTTACACGACGTGTTACTAGTCGCTTAATCAGATATTTATAAGCATAATCGACACTTTTGCCAAGTAAATTCATATGTAACTCTGTCGCTTTCACTGTGAGTGCATAAAGTGACAAACAATATTTCCTGAATGCTTGTTCAAAAGTCTTTGGAATAACGATTTTTACACTGAGGATCTTTTTCGATTCGGCCCGGTTAATAGCTAAAATTTGATGCGGCTTAATGTTCCTTTCAGTTATTTTAAAATTGAAATACATCTCGTACTTCTGTTTGTCCACTATATTTTTATCTTTCAAAATTTCTTTTGTTTTATATTGAATTGTCTGTATTTCTATGGCGGTCGTTTTTCGCAAAGTAATAACTCTCTCGAGAATTTCCTTATTCTTGCTAATAAGGTCTGCTATTATATGCACAATGCCATCTTCTATTTCTTCTTCGTTTCGTAAGCCTTCCTTTTGTTTGTCTATGAAAGATGCTAACGGCGGTATTTGTTGCCCTTGCAAAATGACATCGCTGATTTCCCACAAGCCTAATTCTCTTGCTTTGTCTGCCAGAGATCGTTTTGCTGCTGGTTTAAATAAAGAATAAATATATTCGAGATCGGCGAGACATTTTGTAGATGTTATAACAGAGTGAATTTCCGGCGACCACTTCCCCAATTTGTCGATTGTTTTGATAATTGTCGCAGCACGATGTTTAATAATTTGGACTTCATCGAAACTGTTTTTAAGGGCTCTCAATTTGTCCGGTTCCATAGATCCGGTCATATCTCTCCTGTATCGTGTGATAAAAGGCACAGTGTTGTCCTCCTTAAAAAGTTTCACTACATTTTCCGCAATGTTTCTATCTATATTATTGATCTCACTTATGTAATCGACGTCTGTCCACTCCATACATCGTGTAAGAGTAGGATTTAATTTTATGTCGGTATTTATGTTTGAATCTTTCTTCTGCCTTTTCTGTAACGCTTCCATATCAAAATTAGTAAATGACACTGCTTCTAGCTTCCGTTTCTTTTCATTAGATATTTTTAAATTTTCTTTTTTAGAACACTCGACATTTTTGCTTTGTGCATTTATCTTTGACGTCTTTTTCATTAGCTCTATACTCGTTTTAATTTTCCTTTTTATTTTATTTTCCACCGCTATGTGATTTTCATTCGTTGATTTTAAAAGTATCTTATCGTCATTATCATCCGAATCTGATAATTCAATGATCAATTCATTATATTTATTTCGTCCCCTTTCCATTGTAGATTCCATTGTCTGTCAAATCAATAAATTAATTTTTTATAAAGATATAAATAACTTAAAATTATAACTTTCCATTGTCATACACTACTTTACTCTTTTATATTATTTTGTCTATAAATTTTTTTAACGTTACATTTTATCAAATACAGATATGAATACATAATTGTCATATTAAATAGTGTGTATACACAGTATGTCGAAAAAGAAACCTGACTTTAATTTTCTCGTCAAAATTAGCAACACCATTAAACATCTGAAGAATGATATACATAAATAATATGTATAATAATGTATAAAGCATTTTCTTTCATTTCTCATTGAAATAATAAAATCTATATTAAAGTAACTCAAAAAACATATTAAACAAATGTACAAATATATAATTTTTGGCTATACAAATACCCAAAAATAGTTTTAAATATGATATCCTTAACATATCTTAAATTGAGACATAAGATGTCTTGAAGATAATAAAAACATCTCAATAATATTATGATATATTTTACGAATTTTATAACATCTTTTATATACCTCTGAAATGATATAATGTATGGATTATATAATGTTATAATTTCGGTAATTATTTAATTTAGCTACATCAGCACATATTCGATTGAATGAGAAATTATTTCTCATTCAAAAACATTTTGCGTATATGTGTTATACGGTTCAGTGGAAAATTATAATTATTAATGTAATGTTGCTATCTGATGTTTAAAGAGTGTCTTTTAAATTAAACTTAAAATTGCAATAATTAATTATAATAAATATTTTACCTAATAAATAATATACGTTAAAAGAGATGTAAACATAGCCTCAGCATCACAACCGCAAGAGTTCTCGTACACGACTGATGAGACCAAATGTAATCCTGACGTGGAGCAAGTTCCGAAATGTATGGACAGTAGGTCTGTTCGTTTTTGCTGCACCGCTGAACTAGTGCAATAAGTTGAAGTAAGGAAACATGAGGTCTGTTTTTTTTTTTTTTTCGATATACTAAAACTGAACTGAACTGAACCGCACTGGGAAAGACTAGTACAGAATAGTTCAGTTCAGTGCCTAAGTGCAATGAAGAAGTCTGTTCGTTTTTGCTGCACCCCAGAAACGCTAGAGTGTAGTAAACAACATGGCGCATCACATGGCATTATTTGATTCTTCTGACGAAAAAGATTTTGTTTTAATACAACCACTATTATATAGCAAATTTATTAATAATTTATAATATTATATTACCCTACCGATCATAAATTTAAATAAATGGCAAAATATAAAATAAATATAAAATCATAAAGATATCTTGACATCTTAAATTCATCCTTGTGGTATGTTTGAACATTTCTGCTGTGTATGTGTGTGTGATGGTATAATATTAACAATTTTTGAAAATGAAATAAAGATGTTTCACACATTTCAATATAATGCAAGCCACATACCTGATAGAGACTTTTCGTATAAATTTCCGTTACGCTTACATGCACTTCCAAGCTACACTTTCATGCACTGCACTGACTACACTACCTCCTGACTCAGGTCACTGAACTGCCTGCACTACATGCTGTTGCACTGCGAAAACGAACAGCGTTCATGACGTCATTCTCGATAAAAAGAACGCTTTAGTGTAAACTCCTTGCATTGGTGTGCACTAGTGCAGAAAGTGTTTCGAAAAAAAAAAAAAAACAGACCTATATACTTGTTTCGCTTCAACTTATTGCACTAGTTCAGCGGAGCAGCGAAAACGAACAGACCTATTAACAGTACTATTCTCCCGTTCCGAAATATAATTCATTATACTGCAAGATAGTATTAAGGAGCATTCACACCTTGACAGAAAAGCAGCAGTCAATTAGAACTCGCACTGGTAATCGACAGTTTCTGCTTTTTAAACTAGCGGCACATGATGCTTGTTTTCGTGCTGGATTGTTTGCTGGGTTGAAATGCTGCGTTTTGATTGGTGTATTATCATCCCTTTTTGAAAATGCATGAATCAGAACGCAGTATTTCTATCTAGCAAACAATCCAGCACGAAAACAAGCATCACGGTGCAGCTGGCTTGAGCGAGTTCTGATTGGCTGCTGCTTTTCTATCAAGGTGTGAATCCTCCATAAGGGATAATTTATTTTTTAGTTACTGCATGTAATTTGTACTACTAACACGTTTAGTATTTAAATAGTAATGTAAATATTCCTCAGCGAGAAATGACTCATCGAATCGACATCGACTCGATGTGCATTTCTCACTAGCTCGAAGTAATAGGTCTGTTCTTTTTCGCTGAACTAGTGCAATAAGTTGAAGTGAGACAAGAATATGTTTTTTCACCTCACTTAATGCATTAATTCAGCGGTGCAACGAAAACGAACAGACCTAATATCAACAGAAAATGGTGTTAGAGATCCACTCGTAGGGATTTCTTGGAACCAATAGTGTGCGTGTATGTATGAGCGCGCGCGCATGTGTGCATGTGTGTGTGAGAGAGAGTTGATAAATGTAAAAATAACGATGAAACTTTCATGTTTATTAAAAATTTTCGTAAAGAAAAAGTCGATCTCTCATATTTACCAAAGAATTTTTAGCCAAGAAAGGATATGCAATATTCTCTACGTTAACAAAAAAAAAAAGAAAAATTACATAATCATCATTATAAAAAACTTATCTATATTGTTAACATATCACTAATTTTATTCGCGAATACACATTGAATATCGTCAAAGCCATATTTTGACAGTACGATTCAAGGAAAAACAGGGACTTTATAAGAAATATATTTTAAAATGAAATGTACAATTCTTCAAATATACAAAATAAAGACAATCTACTATTTCATATAATAGAAAGAACATGTTTAAGATAATAAATTTTTCTGGCATCATTAATTTCTTTTAGTAATAAGGTCTTCTTGGGTTATTCTGAAAAGAGGAAACACAATGATCGAGATAGACATGTGAATATTTCAGTCCGAACATTATTAGAGGAGAAGGTGGTATTATAGCCTCTCTTAATATCTCCACTATTAGATAGTGAATTTTAATGTGTGATTATTTATGAATTAATAAATAACTTATTTATTAGCCCGCTGTTACATAGTGGCACTAATACACTAATAATAGCTGACATTTGTTATAATGCATTTTTATTTTTATGTATTTCAAAATGATTCCAAAGTACATATTTCAAGTTGTGCAAAATTAATCAATAGCATAATATTTTGCTGTGTTCCCGTAATAAGGAAAAAATTCCAAGTAAATAGTCAAAAATGGTTTTACTTACCTTGATTTAAAATTATAATTTTTACAACTTGGTAAACTAAGTTCTCATACATATCATATAGACATATCAGCTGTGTTTTAATCAAAAGTATACTATCAAATGTAGATAGAAAATAACATTGTCCCAACTCTCCTTGATATCAAATCTCTCTCATCTTCCCTACTGATAATACGACCTCTTTTTCGAGGTTTTCAATATCGAAGTAATTATTCAATAAATTGATTCTAATCTATCTAGATCACTGCTGCTCTTCTATCTGCACTGCTGACCTTCTGACAGATTGTATCTTCTGACAAGTAAGTCAGTATCTACATTAAAAATTAACGGTTATATTCATTGTTATTTCTTCTAAGAATTTATTTATTTTGAATACATATATAATTTTATGACAAAATTATCTGTGTTATTTTAAACAAAACCAATTTTTTAAATCTATTTTAGTTGGAGGTCACATCCCTGTTTCTCTAACCCATTAAGCAGTGTCGTTACATTTTTATAAATAACGTCCAAAGTAATAAATATTTCATAACTTTAAGTCTAGAATCGATTAAACGACACTTTGACGAATATAACGAATATAACCGTTCAGTTCTCAATTTAAAATATTGATTGTTGACGAAGTTATTGTACAAAATATAAATGCGGAGCCGTAATACCACCTTTCCCTTCATGAATTATTTTTCTAACAATCATAGTACTTACTAATGGATTAGGCCTAAATCTATATGCGAGCATCATTCTTTTTCTATACGCGTCAAATTCATCATCGTCTCTGGATACACCATCCGGTCTCTCAGATCCTAAACCTGCACTATCGAGCCTATTTGTCGCCCTGAAATTATAAAATGATTAGATCAAAGATGTTCGAGAAAGATTTAACATTAAAAAATAATATATGTAACAAAAGATTTACTTATTAACTGGCTCAATACGGCCGCTACCTTCGCTACCCAAACCTTGTCCTTCACTCCATCCAAGCTTTTGTAACATTTGAAAACCTATAAGTAAAGAAATATTATACAGGATTCTGTAATGACAAATGAAAACAAATCCAACATTTTCTCATCATCACGAAAGCCTCAGATATTAGATCTAACCTTATTTCTTATAAATAAATAACATACCTATGTTATCTTCCTTTAATTTATATTCCTTGTAATCGCTCAAGTCAGGCTCTTTCCCTTGCTTCACGGCGTTATATTGCTCCATAAATTTCTTCAGCTCGTCTGGTGGTAGAAAATCGCCAATGTGGTGTTTACCTTCCGCCTGCGCTGTTAATTCCTCAGCCCACATTTGCGTCGCTTCCATTTCAGCGGATCTGAGTTTGTGTTCCCATGTACCACCTTCCGTCTCTTCGTCACTGTCGTACTCGTATTTGTGTTTTCCTTGCGCCTCCAAACGTTTCACTTCCTCCCTCTTCCTTAAGAGATTTTGGTACAAAATATTTATCTGAAACGTATATACACATAGAAATAGATTATCTAATGAAAAATCAGTGTTGAATTTATACATATACAGGGTATCTGAAACTTCTCGGTCAATCGCTAGTGCGAAGGTAAAACGAGTTGAACTGAGCAGAAAAGTTATGTACCATTTTGCAAAATCCGCAATAGTTAATGAAAAATTAATTATTCTGTGTGAGCTAACGAGCGCATAAAAAGCGACAATAAGCTGTGATGATAAAAAAAACTGATGTATGGAAAAATTTTACTCTATACTTTCGATTTATTTTTTCGTGTAGGATCATCCCCTCTCTGGTTGTACCGCTAGTTTACAGGACATCCTGTATGTAGCCACAATATTTCTAGTAAAATTTTTTTAAAACTTGTTACATTGGTTGGTACACAACATACGACAGCAGCAGCATACCTTATAATGATCCTCTGCCTTTTTCCATTGTTCTTCGCTCAGATCGAGTGTGCCGAAAGTTTGTCTCGCATAATGGATAAGTGCCGGGTCGTTTCGTGAAATCTTTGTAAGCATCGGATTCTTCGATTTAACATGCTGCCCCTTGGGCGGAGAGGGTATTATAACAGCAGGTTGTCCGATTTGTCCCGGTATAGCTATACCAGGTTGCGAAAGTGCAGCACCTGGTCTAATATTGGGAGATACATTTGTTTCTGTAACGAGAATTTTAATGTCCGCGTCGCCCCAACGACTACGTCTTCTTCTTTTGCGTTCCTCTTTATTATCGTCCTTCGGTTGATCTACTATGCAAAAAACGACGCATATTAAATATAATCGTGTAACTAATACCATCGCTCGCGTATATTCGAGTCTCACTCACCATATAGCGTATTGTGCTTTTGAGACTTATCCATGTTATCATCATTGTCACTAAGTGCTTCCTCAGGACAATACAGTTCAGCACCACTGTTCTTCTTATCCTTATCTGGCTTCTCGGCGCGTAATTTCGAAACCAATCCCCTGTACTGGAGATACGCTGCACTTTGCTTTTGGTGCAGAAACCTTGATTAAAATGATACTTAAAACGCTGTCTATAACATGTACTCCTAGATACAATACTTTCATATAAAAGATGTAATGTTAATAATGTAATGAAAATAAAATTTAACAGTAGAATCAACAATTGATAACCGTACGTAATATATAAATATCAAAAACTAGAGAAAAATAGTACGAAATTATTAAAGTGTATATATTCCAAAAAATATTATAATTTAAGAAACGTATGCAATAAAGTTTTTTTATGTAGCACTGAAATGATATAGATATTATTTTATTTTCAACTAATATTTGTATTAGGATTTCAAATCAATCTTATATAACATAGAATTTATGCGTAAAATATTGTATCAACAGAAACAGAATAAATGTTAAATAGTTTCACTATATGAGAAGAACTTAACATTTACGCTAAAATGTGGGAATTTGTATGAAGTGTATGACGTTTTAATACTATATATGGTATAAATAAACTATATGAAAGAATCAAATTCCTCTATTAAGGCTTGATTATTTCGCTGTAGCCATTTTAGTTTATAATGTCATGAGTGAGAAGTGACAATAAATTTTTTGCATTATGAAATTTTATTTTTAGTTTAGTTTTCNAAAAATATAATAATTTCGTAATCCTGAAACCTGCAAATTATACGGCAAATTGAATCTGTCCAATACGTCAAATAAAACATATCATTTCTCGCCTATAATGTCATAAATCTACATGGCTGCGGCAAGATAGCCGAACCTTATTAGAGAAATTTGATTTTTTCATCTAGTTTTTAATATATTAAAACAAAACGTCGTAGAGAAAA